AGGCCAATAAGGAGAGCATATCAATTAATAGCACAAAAGGCAAGGAAGAAGAGGTGAAGTGCTTCTCTCAATTTTAGGTTCCTTGTCAATCAAGCAGTATATATTCACTGGATGTCTGTGAAGATAACGTGTCTAGCTTAGTTCCTGGCTCGTAGTAAATGCTCAGCCAAACATTACTCTCCTGTCCTACATGATTCTAAAAAAAAAATCAGTTGAGGTGTACATAGTCTGAGAATTCAGCAAGACTAAACCTTATGGGTTGAAGTAAAATATTAGAATGGAAATTAGAGGCCTCATACCTAATAGTCTGATGCTACACAGTTGATAATTCTACATACTTGCTGGGTTTACAAAGCACATTTTATACACACACCCCCAATGCAGAATATGGTTTGCAGTCAGTCTCAGTAGCTAATATTAATGGCCTTTTAATGCAAGCTAAACTCTTGCAAAGAGTGCCATGAAATCCCAGCCTACGCACCTCACCCTTTCTGACCACTTTGTCATAATCCTATTTCCTTTAATTTAGCTCTTTTCTAAGGTATTGGCTTGCTCTTGTGTCCTGAAATACTTGAATATTTTAATATAATTCTCCCTTTTTTGACGGACAGATTTCTTTTCTATCATCTTTAATGAAATTTCCAGAGATAGGATGTAAGTAGTTACGTTAATGAGATTTATGTTTGTTTCTCTTTTGTAAAAAACCCTTTGGATCAGTGCTGTGTCAATCAAGGTCATCAGAATGATGGTCATCGAATGCAAACCTAATCACGCAAGTCTAAACTCCCTTGAGACACACAAGCCAATGCAGTTCATATGTCCCTATCTATTTTCTTTTGTGCTACTTATTTTTAATTCATCATAACTAATTAAATTGTTAATTGTGTTGATGTCTAGAATGTGACGTATTGAAAGCCACATGTTAGCTGGGATTCATTAAAGAGTAAACAGTTCATGCTTTATATGAATAACAAGATATGATCATTCCTAGAATACTCTTTTAAAAAAAAAAATACTTCTACTACCGTGTGCATTGTATCCCAGATAATCCTCGGAATAACAGGCTTTTATTTTTAATTTTTTATTTATTTCAGTAGATTTCAATAGGTTTTTGGGGAACAGGTGGTGTTTGGTTTCATGAATAATTTCTTTAGTGGTGATTTCTGAGATTTTGGTGCATCCATCACCCGAGCAGCGTACACTGTAGCTAATGTGTCGTCTTTTTTTCCTCGCCACTGCGACCCTTTCTCAAGTCCCCAAGTCCAATGTATCATTCTTATTCCTTTGCATCCTCATAGCTTAGCTTCCACATATGAGTGAGAACATATGATGCTTAGTTTTCCATTCCTGAGTTGCTTCACGTAATAATAATAATCTCCACTTCCATCCAGATTGCTGCGAATGCCATTATTTCATTCTTTTTTTTATGTCTGATGAGTATTGCATGGTATATATACATATACCACATTTTCTTTATCCATGAGTTGATTTATGGGCATTTGGGCTGGTTCCATATTTTTTGCAATTGCAAATTGTGCTGTTATAAACATGTGTGTGCAAGTATCTTTTTCATATAATGACTTATTTTCCTCTAGGTAGATACCTAGCAGTGAGATTGTTGGATCAAACGGTAGATCTAGTTTTAGTTCTTTCAGGAATCTCCACACCATTTTCGATAGTGACAGCAGGCTTTTTGGTAAATACTTACTTACATCCATACCTGCAATCTACAAGATAATATCTAGTTAACATCTGACTGTTAAGGCTTCACTCAGTAGACCTCAAAACAATGGATGAATTCTTGAATGATGATGAAAATTTACTCTGAGGTTATGTAAAACATTAGAGTCTGAGGAGACTACATGCTTATCCAAAATCTTCAATAATTTATTTTCTTACCTTAAATTTATCTTAACCCTGTGGATCTCAAACGCTGTTGGGTATCAGAATCACCTGGAGAACTTGATAGATGTACGCATGCCCGCACCCTATCCAACTTCAAAGAGCCTCAGTGTTGTTTAATAGTGCCTCAGGTGATTCTGATACACAACAAGGTTTAAGAATCACTGACTTGACCTTTCGAGATGTTAATCTCCCTAAAGAGAAATATCCCATTTGTGTGATTTTTTAAAGAACAGAAGGATATGAGCATTAGACATAGGAAATTACTGAAAACCATTATTGCCAACCATAGGTATGTGGAGGTAACTTGTAGTTCTCACCAACAACAGTATATCCAGTAGGTAGCATTTAAGGAGCCTGGTGTCATGGGTGACTAAACCCTCCTTGGGAATGGAATAGGAATTGCATGTTGCCCCCCTGTTCTTGCAAGGATAAGAATCAAGAATCCTCCTTAAATAAATTTCTGTTGCGTTTTCCCATGACCCAACCGGGACTTCTCAGTCTCCAGGTTTCCCAGCAGTGCCCAACCAGTAAACTTGCCAATTAAGCAGCTGAATATCATTATTGCGAATGTAATTACAGACAGTAATTATGAGCTTGTAAATGCCTCCCATGAATGAAGCCCTTTTCCCAAACCAACTCAGCTGCTTTTCTTTGGAAAATGGAAAGCAATCCTATCCCTTGCCTCACCCCAAGTGTAGCCTCCCCTGCTTAGAAGAAAGCCCCTTCTTGATGGCACAAGGGACATGCCAAGCAAGCTTTAATAGGCTGCACATTAAGGGGAATGTCCTCTTGGAGTGGAGCCCCTTTCAGCGTCTCTCATCCAAGCATTGTTTCCCTAAGGAGTAATGACTACCCAGTCTGACTGTATTTCTTAATTTCTGTAGGATCAAGGGAATGAATACCAAATTTTAGAAATTTCTGCAGAAAAATCAAATCTTGAAGGCTTTTCAAAATAGTGTAAGAACTTTAACATTATATTGAAATTAAGCTTTGTGAGATGCAATTTGCTGAGGATTTAGAGTCTCTAAAAATAAAGCAGATGCCATAAAAAACATGCATGGTGAGAAGACTTTTCATGTCTGTAGAAATAAAATCAATCTCATTCGGCCCAGAATTAACCCTTGCACTCAGTAACTTTATAGCTAGCTCATGAAAACTTCAAGCCCTTATGGATAATGGTACTTAAATGAGTTATACATGGATATGTTTAGCTCCAAATGCAATACAATCTTTCAAGATCTCAATCTGTCGTTGCCTTTTAATGGATAGTGAGAATAAGTGCCAGTAATTGCAGCAGTAGCTAGCACAGTCGAAACTGGTAGAAGTCCAGATCTTTCTGATGTACCATGCAATGAATAATGCCATGTAAACTCTGAAAAGGAAGAATATATGTTTATTTAATGTACCTAATACAATGCTTAGCACAGCCCTTTGCATAGAGTGAATTTTCAGAGCTCTTCTCTGAATAAGATCAAATGTTACACCCAAAAGCTAGTACAGTACACAGTTTTTAAAAGGAGACTTACTGCTAACTGGCCAAATTAAGCCATTTCAAGTCAACAGCATTTCCATTTACTATGACAAAGGAATCGTGTCGATTATTATTTTGTTCATGGTTTTCTCCTGGAGTAGAAATACAGTGTGTATGGGCATTGGAATTTTCTCATAGTAATATGAAAACCCAGAAGGGTAAATGCAACTTTCAAAAGTGACTGAGAGCAATTTACATTTTCAGAAAAACCCTCCTAACCAACATTAGCTAAAGATGTCTGGTAGCTTTCGAGAGGGTGCTTATGAAAACCTAAAGCAGTAACCCTCATGTTAAATATTTTTAAATTCACTTTAAATGTTTGAAAGTCAGCTTAAAATTCACTGTGCTATGCACAGGTCAGGATAGACTTGTATCTCTAAGCACCAGGGATATGGGTATCCATGGTCTTTCTGGTAATTTCAGTGTTAAAAAATATTCAGATATAAATCATAGTCTTTTAATCACCATATATAATCACTTTAAAAAGACTGCATAAACTCTGAAAAGGAGGACTCACATATTTATATTATATTTTTTCTAATTTTGACAAACAGTAGCTTAAGAATTTCTGAAAATATGGATGACCAGATGGATTATGTGTTTTTAATGTGTACAACATGCATACAAATATGTATACATATTAGCTTGTTCATTTTTGCTCTCTATATCCATGTACAGTAAAGATATTTAAGGAAGTAAAATTTGCCACCAGGGCAGGTTAGTGTCAGAAATTTTTCATCATATTACACTTTTTCCCATTTTCTGTAGGCCAGACTCTCAAGTCCCTATAAATTGAATTAAATATATATATATATATATGTATAATATATATAAATTAACCAGCTGTACTCTAACCAAAGAGATTTTAAGCTCATCATTCTATCATTTGGGCTCTTAATTTGTCCCACAGCTAAAGCGCTATCTGCTTTTCTTCATCTGTTCTTATTGCCAACTTGGGACTATACTGAAGCCCTTTATAAAACTTTTATTTGTAAGATCCCACTTTTTTTTTTTTCTTTTTGTAGGCCATCAGGGGCAGAAGGTGGTAAAAACAGAGTTGCCACTGTCGGTGCGGCCACGTGAGCACGTCCCACTTAAGTAACAGGGTGTCCCTCAGGTCAGCTTGTGATAAAACCCAAGTCAAACAAGGCTGAATCCTGGGTGTTTTATGTCCTAAGGATCTGAAAAGTGTTCACGGCCAGCCCTGACCCTCAAGACCTCAAATGGTCATCTAAGCAGTAACATAAATTGGTGTGTAAACTTGCTCCTGGGCCATTGCTGTGGAAGTGGGGCTGCTGAAAGTACAGCCTTGCCATGCAGGAACTAATGTCTCTCTAGGCATTTAAAATAAGGGGGAATGTGTTGATTACTCCAACAGGCAATCCAACTGCAGTGGCTAAATGCCCAAGGCTGACAAATTTTGCATCTTATCACTGCCGTCAAGTGGCATGTGAATATTGTCAGCCCAAAAGAATTGAGAAACAACTTGCCTTCCAGAACTGTGCATCTCAGCAAATCTTGACAATGCCAACAGCTCGTCATCTCGTGTTTTTCAACCCTTTAGAAAATGGCCTTACAGCCTGGGACAAACCGAAGCACCGTCCAGACCGAGAACACGACTGGAAGCTAGTAGGAATGTCTGAAGCCTGCCTACATAGGAAGAGCCATTCAGAGAGGCGTAGCACGTTGAAAAATGAACAGTCATCACCACATCTCATCCAGGCCACTTGGACTAGCTCAATATTCCATCTGGACCATGATGATGTGAACGACCAGAGTGTCTCGAGTGCCCAGACCTTCCAAACGGAGGAGAAGAAATGTAAAGGTAACCAGATTTTTATTAGCCCATTATCACGTGTTTCAACAAGGGGGAAAAAAAATCCTGTTGTAGTTTTGTACTCCGTGGTCTACATTTCTCTTCCAATATATGGTGTCCACGTGTTTTCTCCAACTGTTCTTTTACTAGGTGTAGTCATCTTCCAATCTTCTTTTAAATGTAAATAAATAAGGGAATCCAAAGAAAGGCAGTTCCTTTCAGCTTCACATTGTGCTGGGACTCTTGGGGCAAATACATTTTTACTTCTCTATTTAGTTGAGGGGTTGTTAGTTTTGGCTCTAATCCTATTCTTGGGTCTGAGTAGAAACAGGCATCGCTGTATTTTTATGACGTCTTGCTTTAAAGTGTGTCTGTGCATGTGTACATTTCTTTTCCCAATTGTGCCAGTAGCTAATGGGATCTCAGTGCCTACCTTTAACCTAGACAATTCATGCTCAAACGAGAGGTTTTAAGTTGTTGTCTTCTACTCATTAAATCCTTGTGTCATCATCCTGAAAGGAGAGATTATGGTGTTAGGAGGTTGTCACCTCATAAGGCAAAAAAAAACGTTAAACTGGCCTAAGTTCCTGATTGCATTAGATTTAACTGTTCTTTACCTCAGGTCGCCTCCACCCTGACAGATGTCTTTCTGCTGATCACTTTATTGTCTTAGGGCTCCCCAAAATCTTTGCTTCTTAAATCAATTTGTATCTTTCAATGTCCAAGAGATCAATTTCTATCTTTAAATGTCTAAGTTCATGTGATTTCCCATTCTTTTTCAGTTTAGTCTTTTTTTTTTAAGTTGGAGGAGGTCTATTTAGTTTTTCTTTGAGGATCATGACTCATGGTGAAGTTTTAAATTGTGTTTTGAAAATCTCGCAATCATATACCAATATATAATAATGAAAGTTTTCAAAGACTCCCATGTATAAGCCATGAAGGACTTTTACACCTTTTCTACTTTGAACATATACGCATGATTATAGTTATCCTTCTTGCAAAAGAACTGGTCTTTTAGGTCTTCTGACAATACTTTGAAAGCTCCTGAAAACTACCAGTTTACCTTGGAAATTGACTGTTTCAGTTGGAAATAGAGTTATTCAAAAGTAATAGTGAAATAGCATTATGAGCTCTGGTTTGAGTGCAGCCAAAACTATACATGTCCCTTTGGAAACGTTTGTATTTGGACTCTCTCTCATTTGAGAAATTGAGATGGCTATTTAGAAAAAAGCAAACTAAAGTTTTTCAAAGGAGTCAGGATGTAGGATGTGTGTGTGTGTATGTGAAATACATTTGCTTGTAATACAATTGAGATTTTGTCTTAGCATATGTGACCAGATTATATCTCCAAATTGTATGGGTTGGCATTAAAGCCATGTCAGTTTACAGTGAAATGCCAATAGGAAACTCTAGCATCCTTGTGATCTAATAATGTCATAAATGCAATTTGATTCTCTCACAGTTGATACCCATATTCATTCATATATTCATTCATGGAGTCCATCTATGTCTCTATCATTTATAATAAATCTTGGCCTTACATATCTAGAGTTCCCAACACTACACATTTCAGTTTGTTGGCCATCTTAAAAGCAAGAGGAAACAGTCTCTATTTGAATATGCAATGCTTAGTAGAGTGGTTAAGACCACAAATATTTGAGACTGACCTATTTGAGCTAGAATCCTAGCCCTTCTACTTTCTGTCCTTGAGCAAACTTATATGATTATTAGTACAATTAAGTGAGATGATGTATTTAAGCATTTAGCAAAGTACCTGACTTATAGGTCTCTCTGAATAGCAGCTATCATTGTTGTTATGATCATTATTATTAGCTATGCATCATTAAATCATATACATACCTTGAACTGTGCGGTGAGCCTGGTAAGGAATGAAGCAAGAGGAGAATTTCAGATGGATGTGGGGTGGGGCATGAGCTTTCAGGGAGGTTACTGTTGATAATCCATTCTGCATTCATTCAGCTCTCTTTCACGGAAAGTCAGAGATGTAATAAGAAAATATAATTAAATTATTAAAGTCCTTTCTCAAGATTCTAATATTAACAGGAAAACAACTAAAATAACTGTCCTGTGTTTTCCAGAGTAACCACCAGGGTCCACCTTGACATAGGCATGAGGCAATGCCTTGGTTCAGCATGAAAATGCCACCAGGAAACCTATGTCATCGTGGTCCAAGAAACTTATAAACTAAATATCATTCATTCAAAATGGGCACGTGTATTGAGTGAGGCAGCAATGAGTCCAGGACAGCAATAAAATTAGGCAGCCTTTCCTTATAGAGTTGGTTCGTCTCCATCTGCTCTGTTTGTCAGCTCTATATTGTTACTATGAAGAGAGTTCTATTTTGATGTTTGTTCATGTTGGGCATGTATTTCCTAGCTGCTTGACATCTTAGTCCTGGGCTAGTAATCCATGCATTCACTCATCAGTGCTTACTGAGTATCTACTGTATAGAGGATATTGTCCTTGATGTCCAAGCATAAGAAAATGGCAGCAGGGCCAAAAGGACATCCAACTAGCCCTGTTCCAAGGACCCCAGATAGAAACAATAAGAACAACATAGTGCTGAGGATACAAAAGTTAATTCTGCACAACAGGATCCAAAGAACAAATTGACGGTTTGAAGTTGTGCAGTGAGCCCATCTGCCAGATCAGTCATCTAGCAGGCTAGACCAGTGCACCTCTAGTGAGGTCTGGGGACTGGGACCCTTCTGCAAAGTGGTTATTACCGTTTCTACTGGTGCAAATACCGAAACTGAGAGTAAGCTTTAGAAACTTTTATAGCAATTTGGCATTGCCACTGGCATTCAAATGTATGATCGGCTAATTCATCTCACTGAACAGGATAAAGACAGTTGGGTGTTGTCAAACTTGCCTGGTCAGCCACATGTGGCTTGAATTGTGTAAAAGAGTCTTGTGCAGTAGAATCATGTATTGGTCCATAATGAACCAGATTTTAAAATAGTCTTTCACTTCAAATAGTTTGGAAATCACTGATTTATATTTGTGGTAAACTTAAATATTGTTTCTCTAGGCTTATTTTTGGTAGCTATCTAAGATTTTGTTTTTCATTTTGTTCTGGATATTGCCTTTTTTTTTTTTTTTTTTTTTTTGAGACGGAGTCTTGCTCTGTTTCCCAGGATGGAGTGCAGCACCACGATCTTGGCTTACTGCAACCTCCACCTCCCAGGTTCAAGCAATTCTCCTGCCTCAGCCTCCTGAGTAGCTGGGATTACAGGCACCCACCACCATGCCCAGCTAATTTTTGTATTTTTAATAGAGACATTTCCCCATGTTGGCTAGGCTGGTCTCAAACTTCTGACCTTAGGTGATCCACCCACCTCAGCCTCCCAAAGTGGTGGGATTACAGGCATGAGACACTGTGACTGGTCTTACTGCCTTTATTTTAATCTGCATATACCTATACTTCTATCTGCTGCAGGTATCCTAAATGAATTAATTGGTAACACATTTAATTAGAATGAGAGCTCTGGGGCCCTTATATTCTGTCACAGGGCCCACAATTTGAATCTGCTGGAGTATCAGAGGCTATTTTAATCAGGAGCAAGTGACCCCTTCCCTTCTGAAACTCACCCTACCCACCCACACCCGCTCTTTCCATGCCACACTTCTTGTTAGGCATTAAAAGCACTTTAATCACAATTTGAACTGATTGCTCAGCCATGAGGACCACATCCTACTCCCTGTCCTCCTCCCTTCCCAGTCTGAGATGATATATCCAGTGCTACTGAAAGTGTGGTAGCACCAACCAGTGGCACTATCAGAACCTCGAGTTTGGTAGACATAAGAATCTCAAGCCCCACCCAGACTACTAGTTGGAAGCTCTAGAGAGGGATGCAGCCATCTATGTTCCCACCAGCCCAGTGCAGATTCTTAATACCTGGATATCATGACCTGTTTGAGAATATGCTTAAAAAACCTGTAGCACAGGAAAAGGTCTGCCACCTGGTGGGCACTTGGGGAGTGTGCATGTTTCTTCCCTTACTGACTGCATGTGGGGAGCCACTTGAGTCCCTCCATTCCTGGTTGGGCCTTTCTTTGGGCCTGGCTTATCTCCATTCCCACCTGGAAGGTCTGCTTAGTTACTGCCTTATAGCAGATCCCCCTGGGTCTTGAGCCCCTCTGAGAACCCCACACTGTTTGACTGGGGCCCTGATCCTCCCTTGAATTCTTAAAAGGCTTCTCCCTTCTGCCCTCTCATGCCCTGCTGTACTTCTCTCTGGGAAGCCCAGGGTCTCCCCAGTCCCACAAGGATGGGCTCCAGACAGATACGTGGACCCCTGAAGTTGGACCCAACCAGCCCTGCTGAACCCAGGCAGTCAGGTCTCTATACTTTGATGTCAATCAGGGACCTTCCTGAAACACTGAAACCCAAGGGAAGAAACAAGGCAGGGACTCACCCCCACTCTCTGGTGGACTCAGAAAAAGGAGAGCAGCAATCAGTGATCTCACGGAAATGTCTCTGTGCTTAATATTTTTAAAACTGATTCTTAGATACCCAGGAAGGCAAGAAGGAATGAGTCAAAATCATTTTAAGAACAAGTTATTTTTTCTCATTATAAGAGCCTATATGTTCACGGCAGAAACAAAGTTCTACAAATTTTTTAAATTGCAAATACTTTTTAAAAATTGGTTGAAGTTCTATCCCCCAAGAGTAAGCACTATACATTGTTATTATATTTTGGTCTTTTCTCTATGCATGTCTATTTTTTATAAACCTGGGGTCATATTAGGCATGCCATTTTAACTGGCTTTTAATGCCTAACAATATATCAGGAACATTTTCCCACATCATTAACTATTCTTCTGAGTCCTGACATTCATTGGCTATAGGTTATTCTTGCTTATAGATGTATCATAATTTATTAAACCAGTCCTCAAGAATTAGACAAGTTAAAGTATTTTTTTAAACAATATCTTATGTAAGCAAAAGGAAAAACTATTAACTCATGCTTTTCATGAAGACAAAA